GTTTTTCAGATTCGATGCGAATAATGGTCGAAATTTTAGTTCTTATCTTGTAGTTTCCGAGATAGTTGCATGTGTCTCGGAAACTATGTGTTGTATTTTATCTCTAACTCCATAGTCCGATCTCGGAATAAGGTGGTCCAAGATGCGTTGAAAATCTGGTGAAGAGATCTACATCTTTTATCTTCTGAGCTTTTTCAGATTCGATGCGAATCATGGTCGAAATATCAGTTCTTGCCTTGTAGTTTTCGAGACAGTTGCATGTGTCTCGGAAACTATGTGTTGTATTTTGTCGTTAACTCTCTCATTCGATCTCGGAATGAGGTGATCCAAGATGTGTTGGAAAGCTGACGAAGAGATCTACAACTTTTATATTTTAAACTTATTCATATTTGAATCGCATCATGGCTGAAATGTGCGAGACATCTTATAGTTTCTGAGACAGTTGCATGTGTCTCGGAAACTTATGTGATGTCTGCATTGTTGTTTTGCCTCTAACTCCCTCGTCCAATTTCGGAATGAGGTGATCCAAGATGCGTTGAAAAGCTCGCGAAGAGCCCTATAACCTCCCATAGGCGAGACACTTATGGAGTGGGCGAGACACACATGGTATTTCGCCCTTTGTGGGCAAAGCACAACTCTCGGCTGAGTTGTTCCTTCATCGTTTATCATAGACTCGTACGTTTTGCTGACTTACTTCATGTGCTTTTTAGCTCCTCTACGGTATCGGATGATCTCCTTTGACTCAGATAATCCTTCTTGACTCGGATAATGAAATTTATCGTCTTTTCTCCGTCTCAAGTTGCGTGCGGGGACCTATAGGCAAATTTTGTTTATGCCTACAGTGACAAGTCTAGGTGAAGCTCACCTCAGTAGCGGCAAAGCTCAAAACAGTGGCGTGACTGGCTTAGAAGCCCAGGTGGGCTAATGTGGTGAACTTCGCTCAAACAAGGTTCGCCTAGAAGCCCAATAGGCTAACATAGCGAACCCTACCAAAAGGGCGAAGTTCGCCATGTGAAGCACAATTGATGGAGATTGTCAAGGCTTCGCCCTTGCCAACAAAACCAAGAATTAAGACCAAATGTGGTCATGAAAGCCTCATCATCGATGGCATAACTAATTCAAGTGCTTTGAAGCATTACTTGAGCTCGATGGGGAATGTTTTGGCAAACAAAAAACCCTACCATTGATGACCGGGTTGAGAAAGAAAAGGGTTTAGAAGCTTACCCTACTCTATCTCCAGTTGTGGTGATGCAGTAGCGGGGTTCGATCGACAAGAGCTATCGGTGGCCTGCTTTCCCTTGACGAGCTGAAGATGGGGGGCTATTGAAATCAAGTATTTCTTGAGATCGAGGACTCAAAAATTTGAAGGATCTAGGGTACAGTGGTAAAGTGAAAAGAGAAGAATATAAATAGTCTATTTATAGGCTTTTAGCGAGCTTCGCTCAGAGATCTTGCCCTGATATTAGCCTAAAGATTCTGCCCTATACTTAAACCATGAGCGATCTTCACCTCAAATTAAGGTACAAAAACTGGGGTCTTAAAACTATGAATTATCTAATCGAGTTTCGTTAATTTACTTAGCGAACTTTGCCCGAATACTGAACAAACTTCATCAATCGATTGAGCGAAATTCGCCCAAGTCTCAAAACTGAGCGAACTTCACCCAATTTGTAAGAGACTTCATTAGGCGAATCTCATTCAACAACTCTCACCTTCTTCAGAGATTGAGCTTTGCTCTAAGTTAAGAAGGCATGTCATGCATAGATCAAAATTTTAAGGATGAGCAATTTCACAAAGATGTCATTCTTTCATTGATCATTAACCTTGCTTCATTTAAGCAATTTCTAGATCTCCAGACTACAAGGCAAGCTAGTTCCTATTTCTCCGAATTTGTGATGGTTGAGGAACAGAAAAGAGACACAAATAAAGTTAGATGTCAAGTTTGATGAAGCCAGACGACATCTAATTATATTCTAGGTCCACACTTGTGAGACCTAATCACTTGTGGAGTCCTCACTTGTGGAGCTCCAAGGATCCTTCAAGCACCATCAAAGCCTTTGAAGGGGTCTTACGCAAAGCATGACATTCAAAGTTCCATGCATCACTGTCACAATGCACTTCGCACTATGCTTTCGACTTGTTCTTGAGAGTTTGCCCGAACTTAGCTTCTTCGTCCGAAAGCAAATCCACCAATTGGTCGAGAATACATATTTCCTCTGCAGAACCGCCCTCTACTTACTCTTGTTGAAGCTGCTTGATCTTAGCTTCTCTTTCAAGAAGCAACTCCGCCCGGGTAGATAAAGATTTTGAGAAGATGAAGATGGAATAAAATAGAAATGGAAGGGCTATTTATATAAACTTTCCAAAACCAATTTCCCAAAAGAAAATTTGCTTTCGTACGAGAAGTAATTGGATCTAACAAAGAGGCTAAACAATATCCTAAATGCTAGGTCGTCTGCCAAATCTTGCCAAATATTTGACCACAGAGAGATCTCAGCCATAAATCAAGGCGCGGATCTAAAGGCAATAGTCTCGGCGACCCTCGCCAATTAGCGAACCTTGCTCAAAAAGTCAAAATTGAGCGAATCTCGCCAAAATTTAGGGTTAGGCGGACATCACTATTCTATGAACTTCATCCGAATCCAAGGGCAAATGAACTTCGTTCCAAACACATAATTGGACGAACTCTCCAATAGAAGAGCTTTTAGATAAACCTAAGTACTCAGCCAATATAAGTCCATGACGAAAGAAGCCACGTTCAGTAGTACACCTCTGGCAACCAAGTAGTCAAATAGAGATATATATCCAACTTGAACAAGACAACTAATGCTATATTCAATAATACACCTCTGGTTATTATCCAAAGTATTTCACTCCCTATCACAAGTCAAATGCAAGATTACGAAACCTTGCGAGGGTCCTATAGATAGTCAAAGTATACAAGTTCAATCATGGACTGATATTTAGTTTGGATAACACAAAAACTGATACTTGAGCCGGATATAAGCTTAAGAAGTGGATGCCCATGGGCTAAACACTTAATCAAGTCAGAATAACCCAAACATGAGCCATAGCAGAGCTCGACTAAGCCTCAGCTAAGCTTGCCCAAGTTATATTGAAGCTTCACTTAATCAAGTCAAAGTGAACCTTCAAACAAAGTTCACCCAAAATGAACTTCGTCCTAATAGCCCACATGGTCTACGTCATCCAAACCCTAAGAGAAGTGGACTACCCATGTTCTAGTGAAGTTTACTAGAACGAACTTTGCACATGGCTGCTCAGCGAGCTTTGCCCCCTTAGCGAACATTGCCTATGACCGTTTCAAGAGCTTTGTTTGTGAAAATATTTTTTCCCATTATCTCCTAAGTTAATAGCCACTAACTCTCTCTTAGCCTGGAGAACGAGAGGTTGCTTAGTCTGTGGCACTTGGAAACTTCGACACTTTTTGGCATCTTGTAAACTTGCATCGTAGCAATCTTGGAGACTTCAGCATCCTTTAAAGAGATCAGAGATCAAGCTTAACTCCGACAACCTTCAATCAGTAGAAGATTCACTGCCTTACTCGGGCCGTCAATAGAGTACAAATTGGCAAACATAAATGAACTCAGCCTTAAAAAATTTCTTGCTTTGCTTCTTTGTTTATTCTGAAATTTGTAACCTGTGTTAGTTATAATTCAAAGACCCAAAACAGTAACTAAATAAAATACTCAATTCAAAATTGAAGTTTTGTAAGCTGAAAGAGTAGCTGTTGAAGAGTCTATTTGAAGAGTAACTTGGGCAACTACCTGCTCCCTAAGCATTTCAAGCTAAAATCATTGACCTTGAGAAGTAAATGCACAGCTAGAGAACCAATTAGAGTAGGCTAAACTGCACCTAAATACCTTATAGTTTCACCTAAGTTACACTTAAATGCTCCCAGTAAATACCCTAAAATTTCTAAATGTTGCACGTGATACCCTAAAGTTTCTAAATATTGCAACATTGATGCTCTCTGTTGGTGGGTTATTAGAAAATATAGGGAAAATCCCATGTAAATTTTCACGTGGTATTATGATACGTTTCAATAACCTAAAATTCATCTAATTTACAATTGAACCACCCCTATGTTATATTACCCCTTTTCATTTAATTTTCACCAAATCTCACATTCTTTCTTCTGATTTCCCAATTTCATTGAAAATCCAACTTAATTTGTACAACTTCATCTTAATTTGCAAAGAGTACAAGGATAATTTATGAGATAAACCCTATGCTAAGTTTGAGGGTAATTTATCTTAATAGCAGCAGGCATTTTTTCCTTTTAGGAAAAACTAAAATCAAGTCTTTTAATGATACTTTGAAGTATTAAAGTGGAGGATTTTACAACTGAGGAATTTAAGTGCAACTTAGGTTAATCTATAAGGTATTTAGTTGCAATTCAGCCATTAAAATACTCAAAATGTATATCATGACTAAACATAAATCTTGAAGATCAACATATAGTTCTATAAGATCTATTCATCTCTTCTTCCTGTAATTTTCTTTGAACCAATTTCGAAATCTCCATTCTCTAGATGAGACGAGCAGGGAATAACTAAGCAAGCGTACAAACACACACGCATATACATGTGTGTGTAATAAAGAACGAAAAACTGGAAGTCAGTATAATTAGTTCTAAATAAATATGTTCGACCAAGCATAAATATGCTTGCGAATTCTGAATAAACAGTAAACCCGATGGGTATGTGATTGGTTTTTTTAGAAAAGATTGCATAGGATGGTTTTGTCCTTGCAACTTTTATTTAACAATTTTTTTAACACAATGTTGAAATAGGACTAAATTTAAATCTAATAAGAGGTACAAGGATTAAATTGAGAAAATATAAAGAACGAGGATCAATTTGAGTATGAGGCACTGGTAGGAGCAAATTAGCCTTTTAGCCTATAAAATTAGCCTTTAGCCTATATTGAAATATAACATTACCAAGCAATTTTTGATATTTTGAAAATATTTCCATCAGATTGTTCTTTAGAGCATGTGGATTTGGCGAGGATTCTCTTGGCTCGACTACAATGATTTACACTCGTACTGCCCCAAGCTTCTCCCAGGATAATTTGATGATCATACCTGCAGGTCGGATGTTGCTACTGATTCCTCCTATCCTTGAACCTTTCAAATCGAAGAGGATTGCCAATGAGGCAGATGATGCTATTAAAATTTCAACAAAATCTCTTTAAGGTAGACACAATCATGTGCATAAGTTTTCATTTCATTAAGATTGTCTAAATTACTCCACGGCTTTTTAAAACCAAATGGTTCCATGAAATATTTGTAATCTAATATTTGTGAATTTAGGTTCCATTTGGGTACGTTGCGTTTCTTTGGTTTCCGTTTTTCTTTTTGAAAAACCAAGCGAAATATGTCTGGAAACCAAGCCCTTCCTTCTGGGCTACAGCTAAGCAAGCCCAAAACAAAATGCATTTTGCAAAACACATAAAAGATGTTTAATGTTTAGCTTTTTCATTTCACATCCTCCTCCCAAACTGAACTGCAAAAGAACCCATCTTGTATCTGACCATCAGGTCCATCACCACCTTTGACTAGCCATTGTTGCCACCATCATCGCCAGTGGAGTCATCGACGCGAGGTCACCAACGGAGTCACCGATGCGAGATTGCCACCGCCGCAGTCCCCTCTATAAAAGTTTAGCCGTTTAGAGCTCTGTTGAGCGGCATTAACTTTTCTCTCCCCATAGAAAACTGGGCTTCTTTAAAGCCTGAGTAGAAACGGAATCCGCAGTAAAAGAAGCATCCGTAATCAGCTGGCGTAAGCAATGACGCCCTCCATCCCGTATCAAACGACAGGATTCATCGGAACGATCTCTGTCAAACTGAGGGAGTGGACCAATAGCCTGCCTGATGGAAGCCGAAGAGAAGACTTCCCCGCTACAACCAGTAGTAGCATGAGGAGGGAGACTGCCCGTGGGGAACTCGACTGCAACAAAGCAAGGATAGAGTCAGAAAATCATCCATGAATTAAATCCATCTCATAAAAAAGCGAGATAAGATCATTCACGGGGTAATTGGAGAGACGATTTTGAGTGTCCTACACTAGAAGAGCAGTATGCATCATCACGTAAATAACGTGGTAACATACACCGACCTATAAGGTATAAGACGACACAAGATCGCCCCAATATACCAGAAGACTTGAATTGGCCAAGCAAAACAAGTCTGAAACCTCAACCCCCGCGAAGGAGGGTGTCGGCCCTTCCCGAATGACCCGCGAAGGGGCCAAACGAGGGTGTAACAGAGCCACCAATATCCTGAAACCTCAATCCCTGCGAAGGAGGATGTCGGTTCTTCCTTAATGACCCGCGAAGGGATCAATCAGGGATACAGAAATAAAGATTCTCACCCCCGAAAGAGGATGCCGCTGGAGGGGAGGGTGCTGTGGGAACTTCTTCCTCGCTATGCTGCGAACGGGAACGACTCCTAGGAGGTCGAGGTCGATGTGGAGACATCGAAAATCTGCAATGAAAAGCAGCAAGTCAGGTACAATCTAAAATATGAATACACGAAATTTAAAAGGAAAATTAAGAACTTGAACTAAAGTCCTATGAATAAATAGGATTTCATAGTTGAAGTCTAATTAAACCTACAAATTTCGTGCATACCAAGCAATGATTGTCATTTTGCGGTAAATTTTGGTGAAATACCCAAAATACCCCTCGTGTTCAGGGCTAAATTCGGGTCAAGGACACGCTCGAATTGGGTCATGGTCATCATATTTGATCATCTAGCACCCTCAACATCCCACAATTTTGGTTAATTTTACAAATAGACCCTTTTGTGAAGTTTAGCCAACTTTGCAAAAAGACCTCTCCACAAATTTCGGTTTAGTTTCTGCATACCTTTATCAAGGCTTTGGTCATGGGTTTGTGGTCTAAACTTTTGGAATTTCAGCCCTAAATTTCAGCCCTTTTGCAAATAAACCCCTCTACACTTTGTGGGTTGCTTTTTGCAAATAAACCCCTCAAACAAACATTGATTCTTTGCATACAAACACCCCTCTAGTTTGGCCAAATGGGTGTGGGATTTTAACCCCAAATTTCAGTCCACCTTTACATAAGAACCCTCAAATTTCAGTCCACTTTTGCATAAAAGTCCCCCAAATTTCGGCCATATTGCAAGTTTTGCATAAAACCCCCAAATACTTGTGCATACACAACCCATCATCATGAGAGTAAAAAGTTATGATCTTGGTATGTAAATTCATGTTATTCCCCCATTACAAGCATAAAGTTGCAATCTTTCTTGAAAAAGAAGAGAGTTGTGAAGGGGAACTTACCAAATCAAGAAGCTTTCCTTGAGTTTGAAGATGATGAAACCCTAGCTTTGGGAGGAAGAAAATTTCGGCCAAGGGGGAGCACCAAAATCCGAAATTGTCTTGAGTGTAAAAGGGTTTAAAGAGAGGAGTTTTAATGGGGTTCTTAGAGGGAAACAATGGTGTATGCATAAAAGAAAGAAGAAGGAGTTTTGAAAATATGGAAAGAGGAGGGAAAACAAAAGAGGAAATAACAAAAAGGAAAGTTCAAAAGGGGAAAAAGGATATTATGCAAAAGAGGGGAGAGAGACACAAGGGTGTCTCGGTTTTTGAACCGAGACACCCTAGGGTGTCTCGGCTTTGGCCGAGACACCCAAGGGTGTCTCGGCCAAGGTTGAGACACCCACGGGTGTCTCAGTCCTCGATTGATCCCCGTATGCTCACAAACGTCCTTTTCAAGCCCGAATTTGCCTATTTTCATCGGTTGTTGGATATTTCGACGAAATCCACACTAATCCACACCGAGCGATTCAGAACCCTAAGGTCAACGCCGGTCAACGCGTAACCCTAGGTCAACGCCAGTCAATGCGTTGCGACCAAAAAGTCAACGTTCGACGTTCGAAACCCTAAGGTCAACGTCAGTCAACGCGTAACCCTAGGTCAACGCTAGTCAACGCGTTGCGACCAAAAAGTCAACGTTCGATATTCGAAACCCTAGGGTCAACGCCGGTCAACGCGTAACCCTAGGTCAACGCCAGTCAACGCGTTGCGACCAAAAAGTCAACGTTCGATGATCGAAACCCTAAGGTCAACGCCGGTCAACGTGTAACCCTAGGTCAATGCCAGTCAACGCGTTGCGACCAAAAAGTCAACGTTCGACATTCGAAACCCTAGGGTCAACGCCGGTCAACGCGTAACCCTAGGTCAACGCCAGTCAACCACAATATGACAGAGATAGTCAATTCAAAGTCAATGACACGAGCCAAACTCAACTCACTGGTAGTAGACTCGAGACTCCGACGACGGCCAGGCGATAAACGCAGCGCCGGAAGAACTTCGGCTATTCGTCAAAGAATTGAATAGACCAAAAATCGAAGGGGCCAAGAGTTGAAGGTAACTACAGGTTCTTTTCGCCGACTAAAGGCTGGACCAATCATATCCAAAGTATTCCAGCCTCTTCTATAAAAGAAACGAGTCTGGAAAGCTTTGGAGGGGGTATCTGTAGGCATCAAAAATTACCTATAGGTCTCCACGAACAGCTCAGTGTTAAGGAACAACGATGAACGTCACTATCCGGTTCACAGGAGTTCGATTGATGTCGATGAACGATTGAAGTGAATCGACGAACTACGTGAACTAACAAAGGTACGGGCTAATCAGGAGCCCCGCGATGTTTACAAAAGGAACAATGCCCTTCGTGCCTCATTCATTCAAGAGATGATCTAACTCTCGGAGCTGATATAACTCATCGTCAGCTTTCCAACGCATTTCGAATCACTCAAATCTGAGTTCGGACGAAGAATTTACAGCGGAAGCGGATGAATACACCTCAATGGAGTGTCTCGGCCCAAACCGAGACACCCTAGGGTGTCTCGGATCAAGTGGAGACACCCTAGGGTGTCTCCAAGGCAGATTTGGGCTTTAAGATTGTTTTGACTGCTCCGCAACCCCTCAAGCCTATAAATACAAGCCTTAGGCCTCATTTTTCGAGATCTGGAATTTTGGAGAATTGGCGAAGCCCTGCCGAACTGAAGAGTGATCGAGCACTTCAACACAAGAGAGTTCTTCATCAGATCTACATCACCCGCATCCAATCCTTACTATTATCCCGTTGTGGTAATTCTAAGAAGAGCAATTATCTCGCTTCGTCGAGATAAGCGCTTCACCTTCTAGATCTCCTCGCGGATCGACGAAGTTCTGGACCAGATCTGATTGCCAGGTAGTCCACGGATATCAACATCCCCGTCATAGGCTAAAGACCCACGCAAGCAAGAGACAACGAACGGATCTTGTGTTATTTTCAAGAAAGTTGTAATCTTTTATTCTTTTGTTATTTGAATTCATTTGTAACGTTTGAAGTTTAATGAAATCAATGACTAAGGCAACTTTCAACGAAAACACGGCCACCGAGCCACCTCAAGGTGGCTCGATGAGCCACCAAGGTGGCTCGACCACCGAGCCACCTTGGTGGCTCGGCCACCAAGCCACCTAGGTGGCTCGGCTTTGGCCAAGTCCTCCGGGTGTTCGCCGCTTCACCCGTTTGCTGTGTCCGTTTTCCGGTTCTACGCTTCATTGTTGATCTGGACTCTGATTTGGCAGTCCGGATCCCAATATGGCAGTAAATCCGCTTCGGTGTTCGAGTTCGAATCCGTTCTACAGTTGGATGACTCGTTGATTCACCAAACCATTAGCTTGATTCCGCACGCGAGTGGATTTATTCTGTCATTTGCGTGTGGTTCGTTAGCCTCGTCGCCTCATTAATCCGCTTCGTCGCGTGTCACTTGGCTTCGGTGTTGTGGACTGACGCTCGTGTTTAGATACGTCACCCGATGGTTCGTTGGTTTGTCAAATCATCGTGCCGAGCTGTGTTCAGGGACCTATAGATAGTTTTATACGCCTATAGATACCCCCTCCAAAGTATTTCAGCCTCGTTCTTTTATAAAAGAGTCTGGAATACTTTGGATATGATTGTCCCAACCTTCAGTCGGTGTAACGGGACCTTGGAATGGCTTCTGTTTTTGATTCCTTCAATCATTCAGTGCTTTGTCGAATGTCTGTACGGGTTCCGGTGCTGTATTTATTATCTGACCGTTGTCGGAATTTTGAACTTGAAGTTGATTCCTGATTTTCTGATCTTTAGCTCGTGTTTGTTGGTTCAACATAGAACTGACCATCGATTGTTGGCGTTGAGTTATCATTTGTGACGCGTTGTCCGAGGTAGTGTTGTTGAGTTATCCTTAAGAATATTTTTAGAAAAATATTCTCCAGGAACTTCTCAACCAAAAATAGGGAATAGTTTATACTCGTATACCTTATTGGAGTATTTTTCGTG